AAGAGCTAAGGCAATAGCAATCGAGCTGAGTTGGCTGAAACGCAACCAATTGCCAACTATTTGAACAGCTTCCTGCTGTGCCCCAGCCTGTCGAACTTCCACCCCGTCTCGCCCGCTCCAATCAATGGGCATATGATAGGAAACAGTTGTTGCCAGACAGTTGCCCGTTGCCAGTTGTCAGTTGCCAGTCGACCGCCTTTCGTCAGCTGAAGGCGCCTTTTTATAAACCTATAAAATATACACGAAACTCCCACCAGGTAGGCCACGCCCCCATCCGTCTACTCCCTTCATTTAAGAGGAAATATCTACGAACACGCACGTAACCTTTTCTCAAAGCGATCGATGGCCAGGGCGCGCCTAGAGACGGTGGAGGCTTCTGCGGGAGCGGGATAGCGATGGAAGAGGGACGTAGTATAAATCTGGAGTGTGAGCCCGGGCACTGTCAACGGGCTGTTTGGCAACCTTTTTAAGCAACTGCAACTGCGAGGGCTGCCTATAAATATGGGCTGAAATAATATTTGTGAGGGATTCGAGAATTGAATATCTAAAATAAATTCCTTTGGTTTGTTTTTATGTACGAGGGGTCTACCATTTGATTGGAAAGCTAGATAATATATTATTTAGAGGAAAAATATATATTTTTATCTATATACAGATTGAATGTACTGTGAATACTTCTGTTAACTTGGGCAATAAAAAAAGTCAGATACGTATTATTTTTCATAAACTCTAAAATTTATTACATTTATATTAGAGATATATAGTTTTTGGGAATTTTATTATTCAAAAAATATATAAAACTTTTTTAATTAGTTTACAAAAAAATCCCTTATTCTTTATATAAATATGACATATATCTCATGCTCCAGATGAAGAAAAAATAAAATCGTCTGACAATAACCGAAATTTAGATTTTCATGTAGATAAACAATTAGGCAGACAGATGGACAAACTGAAATAAAGACGAGACGGGACAGTCAGCCGGAAGACGGACAGACTCACGGACGGATAAAAAGATCAACAGATAGAGCATAAAAAACGGGCATACTAATGGGCTTCTGTGAAACTTTATTATTGCTTCTGACCCAGAAGATATATATACCCAACTCTCGTTAAGTCTATTGAGTCATATATTTATTTTAATTTTTATATATATTTAATTTATATTTTTCAATTTTTTCCTATAAAAATTAGACACTAAAAACTTATTATTATTTAATTATTAATTTTTTAGCATCTATTTATTTCTATACATTTTTTTTACATATACTTAAAGTCCGCCCTAACTGTTTTAACTACCCTCGTGCTAGTTTGGGTCCTGCTTATGTTTTGCTTTATATTATTTTTGGGCTCATTCTCATTCTCGGACTCGGACTCGGACTCGTCCTGAGCTTTGGGCTCGTTCTAAAAGATTTATGTGCGTAAATTTCATGCTGACGGCATCAGGTGATTTAACACTTTAGATAACTTGCAACAGTTTATAGTCGAGGCCCAGACAAAGCCCCCTCGCCCCAAACTACCTCATATATACGGCCTAACAAAACAAGCAAACAAGTTTCTTGGAATGGGCCGGACAAAAGTTGTGTATTTTTATTATTTTATTTTATTGCGCTTACATCTTTAAATATGTTTGTTGTTGCCAAAAAAGCTCCATCCTCCCCATCACCCTAGCTCGATCCCTGCCGTGGCACGTTTTGGGGGGTGGAATTGATGTGTCTTTTGGGGTCATAAAAATTACAAAAATTTCTTTCGCCTCTTTGGCCCGATTGTGCGTGTGTGTGTGTGTGTGCGATTGAGCGGCCATTGGGCCCGAAAGTCCCTTCCAGAGATAGCCAGCGAGCGATATAAATTATATTGAGCTCTTTGAATTAGTTTTTTATGTGGCACTCATGTAGTGAGAAATGAAATTAGATACGTGCTGGCCGGGGAGTTCATTTGTGCAACACTGTGATTTCGATAGCCCAATGAAAACAAAAACACACGAAATAAAACAAAAACGAAAACATCTAACACAAGATAAATAAATAAATAAACAAAATGAAATAAATCGTTAATTCATGTGGCGAAAATTGCAGAGATATAATTATGTGTATTTGTGTTTTATAATTATAGCTTTCAAACTTAAATATTTATCGTTGGAAAAGTATACGTTTTAGTTTGCATGGATAGGTCTAACAAGTATTATCATGACTAAAGCATGAGACTTGAAGTTGAAGCTGAGTCCGAGGTTTGAGGCTTCCTAAGGAGTCGGGCTGTGGCTTGAGGCTTGAGGGATAGGTATGCGGTTGATACGAGTCTTTTATTTTAATCTATGCTCAGCTTACTTTGATTGTTTTTCAAACATTTCCTTGTCCATTTCCTGATATCTGTTAAATGTTAAATTTTATCTTGATTTTCCCAAAAAAAAATCCACAGTGGAGAATTCGGAATTTCGGAATCTCAAATTTTCATTCCTCCAAATCAGACAAGCTATCAATGTCTTTTCACAGCTTCAGTCAGGCGTTCTCCCTGGCCAATCCATCTCAACTGTTTCACAATTTTATTTCTCATATGCTGTCAAGTGTTGAGAGAATAAGAAATTTTAGTGCAGATAAATCTCTGGCTACTTACTTTCAGCCACATGTGTATATCATATGCATACATATTTCGTATATATCCCAATGCTTTAATCTTCTTTCGATTTCCTTCTGCAAGTGTGCACATTAAATGTTTAGCTGGCTGCACAATGCACCACAATTTGCAATGCTGCGAATCCTTTGGGGTTTTCGTCCAGTTAGTCCTGGGAGCCGGGCGCAACTTTGCAATCGAAGCACAACAATGGGAAGCAATTACCAAAAAAAAAAAAAAAAGAAAAATTCTAGTAGAGTGTTAGGGGGAGAAAGAATACAAAAAAATTGTACACGAAAAGGGCAAAGCGCGAAAAGGAAGTGAAAGAGCGAAAATAACATCGAATTGTTAAGAAACTGCAAACTGCAAATCCATTAAACCACAACAAGCTGGGGGGAACTTCGACTACAGCCAGAACGTAGGTAGAACATGCCAAACAGAAAGAGAGAGTGAGGCAGAGAGAGAGATAGAGAGAGATAGAGATGGGTATAGTGTAAGAGTTTTAAATTGTCTTCCACACGGGGCGCTCAGCTTGGCAGCTGGACACACAATTGACTGAAAATTGCAAAATTTGCAAATGTTCAGTCCGACGGGGATTAGCTCTTAAGACTGTCGCACATAACGGTATTCCTATATACATTTATATATATAGTGGAAGAAATATGCTCGACTAAACAAAAGGATTGCGATTTATAAGCTGAAGGCATTTAGAGACTATCAAGTGGATTATATATACTCGTATATTTGATGGTGTTATGGAATTTAAATAAATTATGCTAAGCTTGACTAGCTTGAGTGATGGATAGTGATAGAGCTTGGGGTTGTACTAGCTATAATTTATTTATATATTAACATAATTAAATGTAAATTTATTATATGACTACTATATTGGAGTTCTCACACACCTCGATGATGATCAAACATATATTCAGAGATCTTAAAAAAACTAGAATACTTCAGACTTTTCTCAAGTTGCTATCTCTAATAACCTATTTCTTAATTAAAATTATTTTTAATAATAATATTTTATAATATTAATAATAATAATAATAATAATGTAAAAAAATTTATTTTAATTAATTTATTATTTTCTAAAAATATTTTTATTAATAGAAAAAAATTGAATTTATTTTACATTGAGTTCATTATAAATCTTAGATTATTATTTGCCTATATTTATCTTTGATCGTCGTCTCAGCTTTTTCGCTTTTTTTTCATTCATACATATAGCTGCGTATGTATAAATATGCATATATCTATATCAATGGTATATCTTCCTTCTTCTTCTCAGTCCCAGTCAAGTTCTCAGTCAAACATCTACAATATGTTGGTACAATTTGAGCATCGAAATAAATCGTTTAAAGTCCTTAAATTCATTCGCTTGACCAATGCAGCTAACCGCAATTTCTACCTCATCTCCAATCCACGGCAATTTCTTGAGCTCGGACCGAAACGAAATTCGATGAGCCACCCAACTATGAAAAATTTACCCTTTGCAGCAACCCATTTATTTGTCTGTTGGTTTGGGAGCTGCCATCATATCTTAGCATGCGGTTAGAAGTTGTTCTGCCTCAGCTCTGCTATATCATGGCTGCTCCTCTTCTTCATCTTCATCTTCTTCTTCGAACTACCTTAAAAATTAATTGAAACATCACTACCGGCTAATATTGTATATTAAAAACCAAGCAGCAACAGCAAGAACAGCAACAACGAACGCTTTGAGCATAAAACATGCAATGGCCAAAAGAGACGAGCGTAAACTTTATAGGTTAGCTGAGCATGAGGAATAAGGGCGCAGGGGGGGTGAGGAGGGAACTTGCAAATTGCCTGGGTGCGTGGCCATTTGTCAGTCTTAGTGCCCGGGGCTAGAAATGTTTTACAATAAATTCGACGAACATTTTGGGTTTTCGAGTTTATTAGCTGTCGGCCGGCACCTGCGGTCAAAGGGCACACAACAACACACACTTCACTCCACTTCAATCAACTAGACCCCCGTTCGGTTTTCCCCTCCCCTTTCCACTCCTATGTGCACACCACACAACTCGCATTCATTCATCTTCATTGTCAAAGCGTCGTCAAATCAGTGTCCGGTTTTTTGAATTTTCAACTGGGCAGCGGGGCATTGCCAGCTCTTAAATTTTACCGTTATGCTATGCGCATGCTCTCACACTCTTCGGCGTTCTCTTCGTGGCGCTCTCACGTTAAATGCGGCTCATTGCATTTTTGGCACGTTTAACGTTCGTCTGTTGCGCCTAGGACAATGTTTTTTTGATTGCATGCCATTCGGCTGTGTCGTCATCGGGTCGGCTTCGTGGGTGTACTAAAAATGTACGAAGTCCACGGCGAAGGTCGTCGGCCATAAAATGCGCATAATGTTGTGCGGATGTGTCAGTACACGTTTGTTATTTGGCGCGACAGCAGTTGGCGGCAGCGGCAAGTCGCAGGCGTTTGACGTAAGCGTGAACGTAAACGTAGACGTTTAACGTGCACGCGCGCGCGTTCGTTATATTTTTGTCGGCATGCGGTGAACGTGAATGCGTGAATGTGGCGTTACAATTATAACGGTACAAAGAAATCGCACAAGATATTTCAAGGCACACAGCGTGATTATTGTTTATTGTCTGCATATATGAGTGTGTGTGTGTGTGTGTGTGTGTGTGTGTGTGAGTGTGATTGTATGTGAATGAGTGAGTGTGTGCATGCTTATGTGCAAGTGTAAAGTGCTAAAGTGAAGTGCTCTTCAAACTGTAACAGCAGCCCATACTTAAATACTTGTACTATATGCAACAACTGGATACGGATACGCGCGTCTCGCTTTAAGTACAAAGCAAACCACCAAACAGCAGTCAACCAGCCAGCCAGCTAGGCAGCTAGGCCAGCGGGAGAGACAGACAGACAAGTAGGTACCGTAACGTAACGATTGATGCTGCCTCCTTATCCGTCCCCCATGACTGTCCCGCTAAAAGTTCAATTTCCTGCGTTTCTTTAATTGAAGCGCAATGTACACACACACAAACATACACACGCAAGCACACACTTGACAGCAGGGCAGGGGAAATGCGATGAAGAGAGATGACGGCTGCCGTCGTCGTCTACTGGGCGTTTGACTCTTGGTCAGTCATTAGTCATTTGCTCATTTCCGCAATAGTAGCCGGACGCACAGCACTTGTCAGCCAATAAACAAGCGACGGCTGCGACAGGCGAACGTATGAGTGAAGAGGATGGGAGATGGGTAAAGTAACGAGCGGAAAGCTGAAGAGTTGCGGTATTTAATGTGGACTGCACAAATATGAATGAAATGCTCATGGCGTAAGGCAATCTCTTTTATTGAGCTGGTCAGGGCTGGAGTGGGAGTGTGAATGTGAATGTGCATGTGCATGTGAGTGTATTGAGTTGCCCTTGGCGTGTTAAAAATTTACAGTTTCAGTTCTCTTGCAGATTTGTAATGAATCTCTGCGTTTGTTTATTTTTTTATTCATTTGTCATTTAAAGTTGTCCACCTAATTGGAGTGTATATATGTATATGTATATACATTTTCTTTTTTTGTTATATTCTCTCATTGCTTTGTTTGGATTGTAATATGTATATTACGTATACGTACTGTGACAACTTACCACAAAATGAAATTAAAATGATATTTATCATTTTAATATTCAAAGAAGCTTTATAGCTTTTGACACATATGTCATATTTGCCCAGTTGATATCGCTCTGATTGTTGTCAACGCAAGTGGAACGCCGCTGTAGACTTGGCTAACTGGGATATGTGTCACACATTCATTTTGCAATACAATAAACCACGTGGAGACAACGCCAGCAAATGCTGCATAGGTGCGAAGCAGAGAAGAAAAACAAAATAAAACAAGAAGAAGAAGAAGAAGCAGCAGCAGCGCAACAGAGATGTTTGTGTTAACAATGGAGGAGTGGCTGTCCAGCAGCAGCAGCAGCAGCGCCATCCACTTCTGCAAGTACTCAAGCCGACCTCGTCCCTCCCACCCCTCGCTCATGCCAGCTAACCCAGTTTTGTTGATGCCGCTTCATGGCCTACCTCTCGCCATTGCCGTTATATTTGCTTTTTTTGGCCTGACTGACTGGCCGCAAAACGACGAAGACTAACCTCAGCTTTAGTATGCACCCATCTCCCTCTCACTCTCACTCTCCCTCGCCACCTGCCCACCTCTCGCTCTCACTCGCAGCAGCAGCGCTTTGATGGAACTTGTTTTGTAATTGTTTTTGTGTCGAGCTGCATGACATGTTGTTGTTCTTCTTCTTCTTGCTGTTGTTGTTGGCAATTCCATTTTTTTTTTTTTTGGCCTTTTCTTATCGTCCAACGTCCGTTGGAGTTCCCAAAGAATTCCTGCTCTCAGCTCTTAGCCAGCCCTGAAGCCATTGTCACGTAAATCTCTGACTGGAATTAGCCTCGTTGACAAAAATATGCCTGCTTACACATTATTTGTGCAAACAAATAGACATGGACTACAGTTCTAATGACGGAAAGCGGTCGGCGTACAGTTGGTTGAGGAGGGGCGACGGGGTAACTAAGGGACGCCAGTGAAATTTGCATGGGAACTGCGACAGTTGCTTCATTGCTGTCGTTGTTGCTGCTGTTGCTGTTGTCGTTGTTGATTTGGGTTTTTGGGTTTGTCCTTTGCTCTTGACAGTAGTTTATGTCGCCAGCCCAGCTCTATAACTGTTGTTTTGTTTTTATTGATCTGTTTATGCTTTTTTGGCCTCTGGACAATGCGGCAAACTATGTGGAAATAAATAAAAAAAAAAAAAAAAAAACTAGAAGAGCAAGACAAATTTGACATTTTCTATGCTAGACATATATAAAATACTCTTTCACACTGTACTAGGTAAAACTGAACTAATTTGATGAGAGTAAGAATAATCTGTGTAATATAAATATTTTTATAAATAGTGAGCAAGATAAGAGACAAACTCAATTCTCAATTCTCAGAAATGTATGACCTAAAAGGAAAGGTAATTAAGCAATACAGAAATTTTCTTTATACTAGCTCGTGGGCTGTAAAGGGTATATAGGTTTTTCTCTAATGTCTTTCCATACGTCTGTGCTCACAAAAAAAATTATTTTGAGCTTCGTTAAGCTCTATTTTAATTAAGAATTAATATTTGTAAAATTAAGTTAGTGCATAAACCCCCAAATAATTATTTTCGCATCATGAAAGGGTATTATGTAGTCATGATCCCCCAACTGCAACATTCTTACTCTTCATCTTCCTCTCATTGTGGTTTCTCATCTGGCAAATAGAATAAAGAACGAAAGCCTTATCGGTTGATAAAGGTTAAATCGTTCCCACCGAGAGACGAAGCAAAAAGGTCTACTCAACTCAGACAAGCGTGAAAATTATAATAAACTGAATTTTCTGTCTATTATTATTATTATTATTTTTTTTTTAAGAGAAGCAAATCCCACTCCGCTTCATACCTGAAATGCCATTGTCTCAAACTCAAAGCCTGTGTGCAAAGCATTTTGTTTCTTGGTTACGTCTGGTTTATTGCAGCTAATTAACATTTCATAAACAAATAAATACCAGCCAGAGGCTTTTGGGCCTTTGGGTGCTGTCTATCAAAACTGAGCAACAGAAACTCGGAGCTGAGTCAGACTTAGACTTTGATGTGTGTAGTGGGTGTTAACCAAGGACTTGGAAACTTGGAAACCAAGGACTTGAACTGAAGTCCCTCCGTCCCCTAAATGTGAGATGCTTTTAGACATTTTGACTTTTAGCCAATTTCCAAACTGTAAGCTTTGATTGCTAAATTATCAAAAGTTAAGGAATTTATGAAGTTTATTTCAAGTTATATTTAATATTAGTTTAATGTATGAGTAATGTAAAAGTTGATGAAAAACAAGTAAGAAGGCTCCAGTCGAGACTGCTCGACTAGGAGATACCCTGAACCCTCCAAGCTGATATTCTAATCATTCTGCACTTCTACTATGCACACATACATACATATGCATCCAGACGCTGTTATACGCGCTCTGCTAACTGCGCAATTAGCTGCGACAGCGCTTGGGCTGCGCTGCAGTGTGAGGAATATTATGAGAATTTATTTGTAATTTATTATAAAATATTGAAAAATTGTTATTTGGAATATACATATGTATATGTATATATGGAATGTATATATTGGCTTTTGTTTTATTCGAAAAATTTGTTTAACAGAGGTCAATAAGCTCTTAGAGTGCTAAAGTAGTGAGTCATTAACTAAAGAAAATGAAAATTAATTCCTTTAGTTACAAGGATTATTCAACAACAACAACAACAACAAAAAAAAAAAAAAAAAAAAAAGAAAAAGGAAAACACTAACAACAACAAATTAATGCTTATTCATTTATCTAATGTCTTCATGTTACTTGACTTGGTTAGCGCAACTTAAGCCCTTAATCTGTATTTCAGCTTATTTAGCTTAACAATCAATTTCCAATCAAATATTTGTCAGCTATATGAAATTCCCTTTCATTGAACTGCTTAAATCAAACTTAATTCAACTGAGCTCGTCAGCCAAAGCCACAACACAGCTCAATTGCAGCGAAACGCCATCTAGCGGTCGGTAGTCAAGTCTATCGGACTATATGCTTCTGCTGCTGCTGTTGATGTTGCTGTTGCTGCTGTTCAGCATTAAGCTGTATGCCACACGCTGATTGATTTTTAATTACGAGCGGAAGAGTGCGGGTCATGGCTACCACGCCCCCTTTGGGCAACCGCCCTGATTGATGTTAATCATATGAATGCAGTTGGACATTTTCAGGGCAGTAACCAAAAAGCCGAAAAACGAAACAATTTGTGATTGTGGCACATCCATCAAAACAGTTTTATGTCCTATCCACGAGCGCATAATAGTTTGTCCCCAGACACAGTGTTGGATGGCCAAAAGATACAAAACTAATATAGAAGGAGAGTTGTAAGTGTATATACAATGTATATTATACATACATTTGATATATGTATATGATATGTATGTATATGAATGTAACAGCTGATAAGTCAAAGCATAAAGTTGATTGAGGGAAAATCTGGATTTTTATTTTTTTGCGCTGCCTTCTTATCTGAAGTATTATATACATATATTTTTCTTTACTACTGGCTAAAATATATTTGTAGCTCTATATTAAATAATATAATAAGCTGCTTATCGTAATCTCTTTATAAATGGCTGAAATCTAAGAGCTGCAGTGCAGGCTGAAAGTAAATTAATATAATGCATGGAGTAAAAAAATTATTAGTTGTCAAATTGTTAATATATGACTAAACTCTCGCAGAACACTAAATGAAATTAAACCACGAAATCTGATATGCATTATGTATGTATATATTTCATGAATAATATAGACTTTTACAGAGCATTCAATCAACTCACAGTTGAGGCTAATCCAATGAATATGAACTGAGTAACCGTTGAGTGCTAAATTAGAATTTCAGCCGAGGGCCCAAGGTAACGCACTTAAAACGTTTGCCAAACCAATTTTACAAATTTGTGGAAATCGAATATTATTCAGATAGTGCAAAAGATCCATTTACGTGATGTTAGCAAAGGCAAATAAAAAACGCGTTTGCATTTTTATTGAATTCGCTTAAAATGGAGAAGATGAAAGAGGCAGAGGCAGAGGCAGAGGCAGAGGCAGATTGCCATGGTAGTGAAAAACTGATGGAGAGAGAGAGAGAGATACTGATAGAGAGAGTGGGAGGCGAAGACAGTTGGAGTTGGACCGACATAAATAAACCTCAACTAAGCCGTGTGTTTTGACATAGATTTAAATTGACATGACTGTGCAAACAAAAACGCAAAACAGCGGCAGCAGCGGGTAAAGAGCGGGCGAAACGGGTTCAAGGGGGTTGGAATGGGGAAAGGGGTAAGGGGGTGATGGGCGGCCGA